CCTCCTCCTCGAGCTCATCATCCTCATCATCATCCTCGCTGGCCTCCTGGACGCGGCGGCCGCGGGCCTTGCTGCCGGCGCGCCTGGCGGAGCGGCCGTGGCGCGGCGCCGCGGCGGCCGCCGCGCCGCCGCCCGCCTGCTGCTGCACCTGCGCGAGCCAGGCGAAGAACTTCTGCTGCGCCAGGGCCAGCAGGCGCAGGGCGTTGCTGTGCAGCCACTCCCGCGCGAGCGCCTTGCTCTCCGCCAGCCAGCGGTCCACCAGCGGCTCGTAACGGGACACCAGCGGCTGCGCCCAGCGCACCCACACGTGCTGCGAGCCCGACAGCTCTGCGCGGCAGGGGAGGCAGGGTGCCATGCACAGTGTGACTAGCCAGCCAGCACAGTGTGTGAATGCCAGCCAGCCCAGTGGGTGCCGCATGGCCGGCCGCGTGCAGCCCCGCCGCTCTCCCCGCCTCTGCCGCATTTCCCTCGCCGCGCACCGTTGGCCCACAGGTAGACAGCCAGCACCAGCTTGGCCTCGTAATACAGCGGCAGCCAGAAGCAGAAGGCGTCTGCCAGCGGCTGCACTGCGGTGAACACAGCCATCAGCGCCCTGCACGGCAGCGGCGCGGCAGCACAACAGGGGGCAAGCAGCGCTCAGGGGCGCGCCTGCTTGCGGGTGGCACACCGGTGGCCGGCAGGGGCAGCAACACGTGGAGAGGCTCTGGGAAGGGAGGTGTGCGTGGGGGCACAGTTGTCAGGGCGGGGCGCAGCTCACCAGAACTGGCACCAGTGCCGCAAGAGCGTGTCATTGCTGCGCGTGGCTGGAAGCTGCACGACCTTGAAGGTCTTGTAGGCTGGGTACGCATAGCCCAGCAGCAGCCTGCGCGGAGGTGTGGCGGAAGGGTGGTGGGCGCTAGCCAGGGGAAGAGCAACGGCGGCGCTGCTCGGCCCTGCCGCGGCGGCGGCGGCCCCAACTGGCGCTCTCGGCACATAGGGCATTTGCTCCCTGGTACGCCCCTGCTGGGCTGCCCTGGGGCCAGCTGCAGAGCGGGGCGGCAATGCTGGGAAACACCAGTCAGGCTCGCCGACCAAACACCCCAGGAGAAGACTCACAGGGCAATCTTGCAGGAAAAGTCCCCCAGCATGGTTCAGCCGTCGCAGTGCTCGCGACTCAACGCCACCAGTTGCGAGATTGGCGCCCCTCTCGCCCTCTGCACCCGACTGCGGACGAACACAACGGCCAGCAACGCAATTTGCGCGGGATTGCCGGGGATCTGGAGGTTGACTCTGCGGCGCCGCCATGCTGCTGCGCGCTGGGCTGGCCCCGCCCCGGCGCCCGCCGCCTGTGGCTTGCCAGGGGCCTGTCTCTCTGCAGCAGCGTGGCCACGCCCGGGCAGGCCAGGCTGAAACCCATCTGCCATAGCGGTGGCACCACGCCACACACCAAAGCTAACTGGCAACCAGCAAATTCCGTGCAGCACCCCCGCTGTCCGCCGCGCTCCCTGTCCCCCTGCTGTGTCGAACGAACTGGTCGTGCATGTTACAAGGCCCGTGGTATGACTACACAGAAATTCATGCAGCCAATCGTGTTGCACGAAAGAAGAGGGGTGAGTATGGGTCGTGCAAAGTAGGGGTGGGATATGCTGGGGGTCCCCACGGGTGCGTGGTGCATGGTCGGGTGAAAAGCAAGCAGTGGGAGAGTGGGGTTAAATGAAATTTTTGGGTGTGTGGAGAGTAGTAGGTATGTCCTGATGGCAACAGGAGGCAACGAGGGTACACAGGCATGCATGCGCGCCGGCGCCCGCTGAGCAACCACAGCTCGGCCCACAAAATGGACGGCACCGCCGGCCCCGGCCACCCGCGCTCGCGGCCAGCCTCACGCCTTGCGCTTCTGCGGAGTCAGCTGCCCGCCGCCGCCCGCGCCGCCGCCGCCGCCGTCGTCTCTTCTCGCGCCGTCGGCCGCGTGGCTGGCAGGCGCGCCGCCATCGCCGCCGCGCGGCTCGCCGCCACCGCCGCCGCCGCCCTGCTGCCCGCCCTCCTGCCGAGACGCGGCCGCGGCCGCCGCCAGCGCCGCTGACACGGCGGCCGAGTGCTGGCGCTGGGACTGCTCCCGGGCCAGCTGGCCGCCGCCGCCGCCGCCGCCGCCGCCTCGCTCCATCTGCATGATGGCTGCCGCCAGCGCCTCATCAGGCAGGTTGAAGCTTTCCAGCTTGCCCATGGTGCCGATGTTGAAGGAGGGGGCGCGCCCCGCCCCCGCCAGCAGCCCCTCCGGCCCCAGCAGCGACGACTGCGTCAGCAGCTGCTCCAGGTCGCCGCTCATCATGCCCTGCACGCACGCAGGCAGGCAGGCGCGCAGGCGGCACCGGTTGGCAGTCTGGCAGGACGGCACCGGTTGCAGGCTGGCAGGACGGCACGGCGACGGCGGGCGGGCGGGGGCTGGC